ACTCGATAAACTGAAAAATTGAAAAAAATCTAGTACCGAGAAGTTGAAAAATCGAAAGATCGAGAAATCGAAACATCAAAAAATTGAAAAATCAAAGGTGAAAATTTAAAAAACCTGAGAAATTATAAAATTAAAAATTGGAAAGTAAAAAAATTAAAAATTGGAAAATCCGGAAAGTGAGGAATTGAAAAACTCGAAAATTGAGAAATCGAGAAAGCGAGAAATTGAACAATGAGAACTTGAAAAATCGAAAAGTTGAAAAGTTGATTAACCGAAAAATCGGAAACTTAGGAATGCCAAAAATTGAAAAATTGAAAGAATGACAAATTAAAATATTGAAAAATTGAGGAATCTATGATTTTAAAAATCAGAAATGTGATTTGAAAAATCGGGAAATTGAATAATCGAAAAATCGAAACAGAAATCTCCAGAAAACGAAGAATTGAAAATTCGATAAACTGAATAACTGAAAAAATCTAATAGCGAGAAATTGAAAAATCGAAAGCATGAGAAATCCAAGCATTAAAAAATTGAAGATTCCAAAATTTATAATCTATCTCACCAGATGTTTTAATACGCGTGAAAATGTAATTTTGGGGTTGAGTAAGTGAAACAAAATTATAATTATAATTCTGGCCAATGCCTCTTACCATTCTAGAAAAGCCAATAGAGTTCCAACAGGATCGTAGACTAAACATTAAATTACTCGGTGGTTGGCACTCAAGTATTATATTTGAAAGTCAGTTTCTTAAAGCTGAGCTACTAAATTTAGCAAAGCAATATTCCAAGAGTATGCATACTTTATATGTTGTCGAAGAATTAGCAAAAGCATATGACCCGGAAGTTTTGGTTAAGGCTTCCGCCTTATCACTGCCATTTCAATCCAATCGAAATAGCTTGGGGTGTAGCCAAAGTAAATGTCGATAAAAGTGTCGGAAAAACGTCGAATAAAGATTTGGGTGTAATAAATTTCCCAAGTTCAACAAATTGCGGATAATATGTGGATGAAATGTTTAGATCATACAGACGTAATAGTAATGGTACTTACGAACAGCAAAAAGTTATCGACAAAGTGTTTCTATAATATTGCGTCTTAACAACGTAAACTATGCTTAGCTTTCGTTTCGCTTGTTCTGTCACATATCAAAAAAATTGGTCTAAAGAGTTTAGACAGTACTTCCCTCGCTGTCGGAAACTTGACGACTACATGCCTATTGTTTTTTTTCTCATTACATTTTTGTAGTGGGAATTTAAAAAAAAATTGCGATGACGTCATCAACATTTTTGCAAGGACACGTATATCAGTTGGGATAGATGTAGTGTAATACTAAGAATAAAATTATTATATTCTCAAATTTTCGGGAAAATGAATTGGGTCGTTTTGAATATTGATTTGTAATAATCAATAAAATAACGAAACAATTTACTCACGTATACGTATCAGAGGCAACTGAAAATCGTGTATGTATAAACATTCTTAATTTAAGATGACAGGCGTAACAGCATACGTGAGAGTCAAACAGAGAAACTGTAAACAAAACGACCATCGGTTTTATTGCTTCGACTTCCGCTTATTATATAAAACATTGGGTTTTATTTTAATTCTTGACGGTGAAATTCACAATTGGTTGATTATAAACATGTCTATTTCACATTCGCGGAACCAAGTGAACGCATAAAACAAATGCAGGTCTGTAATGTTAAAGTCGATGTAAATAAGCGTGCTACCCTTATGTTTCAACCGAGTTTTTCCTTTAACAAATTTTGTGTCTACCAAATTGGGTTGGTTGGGGTGTAATACTAATAATAAGTGTTGCCTTTAATTTAATCAATAAAATAAATTGACTTCATTAATTTTTTTGAACCACCTCTTAAGAAAATCTAAAAAATATGAATGGAATGATAAATCACAAGTACAAACTCATCATATTTTTTGCATTTTAGATAGGATTTATTCAGCAAAATTTAAGGGTGACGTCATCAATTTTTTTAGGAGGGACGAACAAATACATTTTGAACAAAAGTTTACCATGCTTATAATAACTTTAAAATATTCCCAAGATTTCAAAGCATTCGGTTTTGTAATTCCTGATTAAATCGATAAAATAAATTCACGCCTTCATTAATTTTTTTGAGTCACCCTGCATATGCAAATCCAAAAATATGAATGGAATGATAAATCACAAGTACAGACTCATCATATTTTGTACATTTTAGATACGATTTATTCGGCAAACTTTTGAGCTGACGTCATCAGTTTTTTGTAGAAGATAACCAAATATATTTTGACTAAAAATTTATTATGCTCTTTATAACCTTAAAACATCTGCAAGATTTCAAAGCATTCGGTTTTGTAGTTCCTGATTAAATCAATAAAATAAATTTATGCGTTCATTAATTTTTTTGAGTCACTCTGTATATGCAAATCGAAAAAATTGGTCTAAAGAGTTTCGACAGTACTTCCCTCGCTGTCGGAAACGTGACGACTGCATGCCTATTATGTTTTTTTTTTCGCAGTGGATTTCAAAGAATTCGGTTTTGTTGTTTCTGAGTAAATCAGTAAAATAAATTTACGCATTCATTAATTTTTTTGAGTCACCCTGTATATGCAAATCCAAAAAATATGAATGGAGTGATAGATCACAAGTACAGACTCATCATATTTTGTTCATTTTAGATATGATTTATTCGGCAAACTTTCGAGCTGACGTCATCAATTTTTTGGAGGGGATAAGCAAATGTATTTTGACTAAACATTTATTATGCTCTTTATAACCTTAAAACATCTGCAAGATTTTAAAGCATTCGGTTTTGCGGTTCATGATTAAATCAAAAAAATAAATTTACGCTTCATTAATTTTTTTGAGTCACCCTGTATATGCAAATCCAAAAAATATGAATGGAGTGATAAATTACAAGTACAGACTCATCATATTTTGTACAGTTTAGATAAGATTTATTCGGCAAACTTTCGAGCTGACGTCATCAAGTTTTTGGAGGGGATAAGCAAATATATTTTGACTAAACATTTATTATGCTCTTTATGACCTTAAAACATCTGCAAGATTTCAGAGCATTCGGTTTTGTAGTTCCTGATTAAATTAATAAAATATATTTACGCATTCATTAATTTTTTTGAGTCACCCTGTATATGCAAATCCAAAAAATATGAATGGAGTGATAGATCACAAGTACAGACTCATCATATTTTGTACATTTTAGATATGATTTATTCCACAAACTTTTGAGCTGACGTCATCAAGTTTTTGGAGGGGATAAGCAAATATATTTTGACTAAACATTTATTATGCTCTTTATGACCTTAAAACATCTGCAAGATTTCAGAGCATTCGGTTTTGTAGTTCCTGATTAAATCAATCAAATATATTTACGCATTCATTAATTTTTTTGAGTCACCCTGTATATGCAAATCCAAAAAATATGAATGGAGTGATAGATCACAAGTACAGACTCATCATATTTTGTACATTTTAGATATGATTTATTCCACAAACTTTTGAGCTGACGTCATCAAGTTTTTGGAGGGGATAAGCAAATGTATTTTGACTAAACATTTATTATGCTCTTTATAACCTTAAAACATCTGCAAGATTTCAAAGCATTCGGTTTTGCGGTTCATGATTAAATCAAAAAAATAAATTTACGCTTCATTAATTTTTTTGAGTCACCCTGTATATGCAAATCCAAAAAATATGAATGGAGTGATAAATTACAAGTACAGACTCATCATATTTTGTACAGTTTAGATAAGATTTATTCGGCAAACTTTCGAGCTGACGTCATCAAGTTTTTGGAGGGGATAAGCAAATATATTTTGACTAAACATTTATTATGCTCTTTATGACCTTAAAACATCTGCAAGATTTCAGAGCATTCGGTTTTGTAGTTCCTGATTAAATCAATAAAATATATTTACGCATTCATTAATTTTTTTGAGTCACCCTGTATATGCAAATCCAAAAAATATGAATGGAGTGATAGATCACAAGTACAGACTCATCATATTTTGTACATTTTAGATATGATTTATTCCACAAACTTTTGAGCTGACGTCATCAAGTTTTTGGAGGGGATAAGCAAATATATTTTGACTAAACATTTATTATGCTCTTTATGACCTTAAAACATCTGCAAGATTTCAGAGCATTCGGTTTTGTAGTTCCTGATTAAATCAATCAAATATATTTACGCATTCATTAATTTTTTTGAGTCACCCTGTATATGCAAATCCAAAAAATATGAATGGAGTGATAGATCACAAGTACAGACTCATCATATTTTGTACATTTTAGATATGATTTATTCCACAAACTTTTGAGCTGACGTCATCAAGTTTTTGGAGGGGATAAGCAAATATTTTTTGACTAAAGATTTATGATGCTCTTTATAGCCTTAAAACATCTGCAACATTTCAAAGCATTCTGGTTAGCAGATTAAAAATTAAATTTCAAAATGTTGTTTTATAATTTTGATTTTTTTTCCAAAAATCTGGACGTTTCGGGTGAAAAGTCGATTCAGAGTTGTAAACTACATGTGTAGGATTATGTTATTTTATACAATTGAAAACCCATTTACTATGTACAATTTTGAAGTGACGTCATCGCATTAGTGGTGGGGATGATTAGACAAATTTTGGTTAGCGTTTTACCATCTACATGATATTCTTAATATAAGTACAAAATTTCACAACAATCGGTCGAGTACTTTCGGAGATTATCTGTCTAATAAAAATCCGGGACGGTAGACGGACAGACAGACGGACGGACAGACGGACAGACTGACAGACAGACGGAAATGGGAGACCTATTTCTTCGTCTTCTAGGGGTCATGAAAGATCGAGAAAACGTAAAAGTAGAGAGTCGGCCGACGGACTCGATTACAATACTTCCTTTGCTTACGCTCGGGAAGTAAAAATCACCCGGTATTAACATTGTTGAAACTTGTTATACGAAAAGTTTAAATAGTATTCTCTCTTCCAGATGGTCTAACCAGCCCCGACCATGTAACCGCCTTCTTCCGAACCAGTGCCCCCAAGCCAGCAGTGCCATGGTCAGCGCCGCCGCCTCCATCATCCTCGTCCTGGCGACCCTGTCCCTGTCGACGGCCGCCGCCGACGTCTTCGCCCAACGAAGCAAGCAACGAAAGAGCGCCGTGTTCGCGCCGTCGGCGCCCTCGCGCGAACGCAAAAAGCACAACATCGTCCTCATCCTGACCGACGACCAGGACGTCGAGCTGGGCTCGCTCAACTTCATGCCCAACACGCTGGCGGAGCTGAGGGACAAGGGGGCGCAGTTCCGGCACGCCTACGTCACGACGCCCATGTGCTGCCCCTCGCGGTCCTCGCTGCTGACGGGGATGTACGTGCACAATCACAACGTCTACACCAACAACGACAACTGCTCGAGCACGCAGTGGCAGGCCACGTACGAGACAAGGTCCTTCGCCACATACCTGTCCAACGCGGGATACAGGACAGGTGAGGGAAATACAATAATAATAATTGTAAGGTGTGATACTATTGCTATTCAAAAGAAAACCTGTTCGCGCAGTGACGTCACTTAAAAATTTTAATGTACAAGAATCGCCAATATTTTTAATTTCTATGGCGGGTGTTTGGAAAATGGGTGGATTAACTCTTTAGTACGTTATGTACGGGGGTTTCAAGAGTCTAAAAAAAATAATTAAAAATTTTTTACAGTTCCAGTAGCAAGTAGTACATATAACAAAAAATTTACGAATAGCGTGTTATTTTTACTTTTTTTTACATCCTAAATTCTATTAGTTTGCACTCCCTGCCCATAAGAGAACATATTAGCCCCGCCCACCCACCCTATCTTCATTTCAGTGATTAATTTTATCCGGTTTCAATGAAATGAATGATCTTAATTATACTGAACAGAAATAAAATTAGTCCTTAGTATGAGAAGACTGGGTCGTCGGGGTTAGTACTTGCTAAAATAAAAGTGATTTTGGCAAATGATATACCTTTCAAGAAAATAGAGGGCGGGTGAGCGGGACTAGGACTTGATAAGATAATACTGTTTTTGGCAGATGATATATCTGCCAAGAAAATAGAGGGCGGGTGGGCGGGGCTAGCATTTTATAAGAAATGAGTGATTTTGATACTTTTTTTTTCGAAAATTTCTGTTCTTTCAGAATCATCAATTGAAATATAGCGGGCGGGGTTAGTACTTGTTAAGATAAAACTGATTTTGGCAAGTGACATACCTTCCAAGGAAATAGAGGGCGGGTGGGCGGGGCTAGCATTTTATAAGAAATGAGTGATTTTGACACTTTTTTTTTTCGAAAATTTCTGTTCTTTCAGAATCATCAATTGAAATATAGTGGGCGGGGTTAGTACTTGTTAAGATAAAACTGATTTTGGCAAGTGACATACCTTCCAAGGAAATAGAGGGCGGGTGGGCGGGGCTAGTACTTGATAAGATAAGACTGTTTTTGGCAAATGACATATTTTCCAAAAAAATAGAGGGCGGGTGGGCGGGGCTAGCATTTTATTAGATATGACTAATTTTGACACTTTTGATATTTTCGACCATTCTTCAACCATTTTCGAAAGTTAGCTAGATATTTTCTTGTAGATTTCGACAAGCAGAAGTCATTTTTGGCTTCGTTTCTTCGAAAATTTCTGTCGTTCTTTAAAATTGCCAATTGAAATATAGCAATTTTTACAGTTGCAGTAGCAAACAGTGTAACAAAAAATTTACGATTAGCGATTTTTTAAAATTTTTCACATCCTAGATTCTATTAATTTTCACTCCCACTCTATAAGAGAACATAATTAGCCCCGCCCACCCACCCTGTCTCTTTTTTAGTGATCAATTTTATCTGTTCTGGATGATCTTATACTGAACAGAAATAAAATTAGTCCTTAGAATGAGAAGACTGGGTCGTCGGGGTTAGTACTTGCTAAAATAAAAGTGATTTTGGCAAATGATATACCTTTCAAGAGAATAGAGGGCGGGTGGGCGGGACTAGGACTTGATAAGATAAAATACTGTTTTTGGCAGATGATATATTTGCCAAGAAAATAGAGGGCGAGTGGGCGGGGCTAGCATTTTCATAAGAAATGACTGAGGAAATATACTGGGCGGGGTTAGTACTTGTTAAGATAAAACTGATTTTGGCAAGTGACATACCTTCCAAGGAAATAGAGGGCGGGTGGGCGGGGCTAGTACTAGATAAGTTTAGACTGTTTTTTGCAGATGCCATATTTTCCAAGAAAATAGAGGGCGGGTAGGCGGGGCTAGCATTTTATAAGAAATGACTGAGTTTGACACTTTTTATTTCTGTTGTTCTTTCAGAATCGTCAATTGAAATATACTGGGCGGGGTTAGTACTTGTTAAGATAAAACTGATTTTGGCAAGTGACATACCTTCCAAGGAAATAGAGGGCGGGTGGGCGGGGATAGTACTAGATAAGATTAGACTGTTTTTTGCAGATGACATATTTTCCAAGAAAATATACGACTAATTTTGACACTTTTGATATTTGCAACCATTTTTCGACCATTTTCGGAAATTAGCTACACATTTACTTGTAGTTTTCGACATCCAGAAGTCATTTTCGGCTTCGTTTCGGCGAATATTTCTGTCGATATTTCAAAATCGTCAACTGAAATATAGCAATTTTTACAGTTGCAGTAATAAATATTATAACAAAAAATTTAGGATTAGCGCTTTTTTACTTTTTTCACTTCCTAGATTTCATTCGTTTCCACTCCCACTCCATAAGAGAACATAATTACCCCCGCCCACCCACCTTACCTTCAATTCAGTTATTAACTTTATCCGGTCTGAATGAAATGAATGATCTTATACTGAACAAAATAAAATCAGTTCTTAGAATGAGAAGACTGGGTGGGCGGGGCCAGTTCTTGATAAGATAAGACTGTTTTTTGGCAAATGACATATCTTCCAAAAAAATAGAGGGCGGGCGGGCGGGGCTAGCACTGGATAAGATAAGACTGTTTTTTGCAAATGACATATTTTCTAAGAAAATAGAGAGTGGGTGGGCGGGGCTAGCATTTTATAAGGAATGAGTGATTTGGACACTTTTTTTTCGAAAATTTCTGGTGTTTTTTCAGAATCGTCAATTGAAATATAGTGGACGGGGTTAGTATTTGTTAAGATAAAACTGATTTTGGCAAGTGACATACCTTTCAAGGAAATAGAGGGCGGGTGGGCGGGGCTAGGGCTAGATAACTTTAGACTGTTTTTTGCAGATAACATATTTTCCAAGAAAATAGAGGGCGGGTGGGCGGGGCTAGCATTTTATAAGAAGTGGGTGATTTGGACACTTCTTTTTTCGAAAATTTCTGTCGTTCTTTCAGAATTGTTAATTGAAATATAGTGGGCGGGGTTAGTACTTGTTAAGATAAAACTGATTTTGGCAAGTTATATACCGTCCAGGAAAATAGAGGGCGGGTGGGCGGGGCTAATACTTAATAAGATTAGACTGTTTTTGGCAAATGACATATTTTCCAAGAAAATAGAGGGCGGGTGGGCGGGGCTAGCATTTTATAAAATATTACTAATTTTGGCACTTTTGATATTTTTTGACCACTTTTCAACCATTTTCGAAAGTTAGCTAGATATTTTCTTGTAGATTTCGACATTCAGAAGTCATTTTTCGCTTCGTTTCGTCGTAAAATTTTTGTCGTTCTTCCAAAATCGCCAAATGAAATATAACAATTTTTACAGTCGCAGTAGCAAATAGTATAACAAAAAATTTACGACTAGCGCTTTTTTTTTACTTTTTTCACATTCTAGACTTTATTAATTTCCACTCCCACTCCATAAGAGAACATAATTAGCCCCGCCCACCCACCCTGTCTTTATTTAGTGATTAATTTTATCCGGTCTGAATGATCTTATACTGAACAGAAATAAAATTTGTCCTTAGATTGAGAAGACTGGGTGGGCGATTAGTACTTGTTAAGATAAAACTGATTTTGGCAAGTTATATACCTTCCAGGAAAATAGAGGGCGGGTGGGCGGGGCTAATACTTAATAAGATTAGACTGTTTTTGGCAAATGACATTTTCCAAGAAAATAGAGGGCGGGTGGGCGGGGCTAGCATTTTATAAAATATTACTAATTTTGGCACTTTTGATATTTTTTGACCACTTTTCAACCATTTTCGAAAGTTAGCTAGATATTTTCTTGTAGATTTCGACATTCAGAAGTCATTTTTCGCTTCGTTTCGTCGTAAAATTTCTGTCGTTCTTCCAAAATCGCCAAATGAAATATAGCAATTTTTACAGTTGCAGTAGCAAATAGTGTAACAAAAAATTTACGACTAGCGCTTTTTTTTACTTTTTTCACATTCTAGATTTTATTAATTTCCACTCCCACTCCATAAGAGAACATAATTAGCCCCGCCCACCCACCCTCTCTTTATTTTAGTGATAAATTTTATCCGGTCTGAATGAAATGAATCATCTTATACTGAACAGAAATAAAATTAGTCCTTAGAATGAGAAGACTGGGTGGGCGATTAGTACTTGCTAAGATAAAACTGATTTTGGCAAATGACATATCCTCCAGGAAAATAGAGGGCGGGTGGGCGGGGCTAACTAATACTTAATAAGATTAGACTGTTTTTGGCAAATGACATATTTTCTAAGAAAATAGATATTTTATAAGAAATGACTGATTTTGACACTTTTTTTCGTAAATTTTTGTTGTTTTTTGAGAATCGTCAATTGAAATATAGTGGGCGGGGTTAGTACTTGTTAAGATAAAACTGATTTTGGCAAGTGACAAACCTTCCAAAGAAATAGAGGGCGGGTGGGTGGGGCTAGCATTTTATAAGAAATGAGTGAGTTGGACACTTTTTTTCCGAAAATTTTTGTCGTTCTTTCACAATCGTCAATTGAGATATAGTGGGCGTGGTTATCACCTGCTAAGATAAGACTGACTTTAGCAAATGACGTATCCTCCAACGAATTTAATTAAATTATTATAAGAAAAGCTACTAAAGGCTCTAAAACACTTTCAAATTCTTTCCAAATATGAATACCTAGAACTTCAAGATTGTTTTAAATTTTTCAAAAAAAAAACGGATTCCCAAAATTAACTAAAAAATAGGTCAGGTCAGAATTTTCCAAAAGTAGAACACCAAAGTCCTCCAAATGGTTTTAAATAATTTACCAAAAAATTTCCATGGGCTCCCAAAATCATACACCGTGGGTACCCAAGAGTGTCCCGAATTTAAAAAAAAACACTGCGGCATTCAAGTTCATCCAGCAACAAAACACCAGATTCCTTTAAATTTACCCGAAAATAAAACACCAGGGGACCGAAAATTCACTACGAACATTTTAAACTTAGGGTTTTGAGAACTTTTTCACCAGTTAATTGTTAAGAGTGTGGCGGAGAGTTAACCCGTCATTTTCCAGACACCCGGTATTATCAATTTAAAGAGCGGATTTTAGGCTAAAAAAATTCAAAGTA